GGTGGAAGAGGGAGAAGCAGGCCTCCCACGGAGTGGGGAGCCCAATGCGGGGCTCGATCCCAGGACCCTGGGATCATGACCTGAGCCGAAGGCAGACACCTAATGACTGAGCCACCCAGGCGCCCCAAGCTCTCCTGATTTTTAAGTGAAGAACTTGAGCCACAGAAGTAAATAACTATAGCACAAAATTTTAACCCCATTAAAATTCTATTCAAACCCATTTAAATTCTACTAAAGCAGGAAGAGGGGTGCCTGGCTGACTCAATCTGTAGAGTGGGTGACTGTTGATCTCGATGTGGTGAATTGAATCCCCATGTTGGGCATTGAGCGTACAGGAAGGAAGGAAGGAAGAGAGAGAGAAAGAAAGAAAGAAAAGAAAGAAAAAGAAAGGAAGGAAGGAAGAGAAAGAAAAAGAAAGGAAGGAAGGAAGGAAGGAAGGAAGAAAGAAAGAAAGAAAGAAAGAAAGAAAGAAAGAAAGAAAGAAAGAAAGAAAGAAAGAAAGAAAGAAAGAAAGAAAATGGAAAGAAAGTGGAAGGCACGAAAGAAAAAGAAATTCAGATGATAAGAGACTGTTGGGTGATAAAAGGGGGAGGAGGGGCTGGGGCTGAGAGGCCGACAGAAAAAGGAACCAGAGAAGAAAGAAGCAGAAACAGTGAAAGGGAGAAGTAGTGAACTTAGTGAGCAGAACTTGTGTGCTGGGTGCTTTACATCCATCATTTCACATTTGTTCACCATGCATTCATGTATTTAAGGTTTTAAGCAGAGGGGGCGACATGATCACATGCACATGTTTAAGAGGTCACTCTGGCCACAGAGAGGTGCATAGGTGGATGCAGGTAGACAATTTTGGAGGCTGCTGTGCAAGTCTGAGAAAGAGAGGATGCTGGCTTGGTTTAAGAGTGGCTGCAAGAAGGACGCAGAGAAGCACAAAGAATTGTGGAATCTGGGGACGAACTAAAGGGACTAAGCCTTTGTATATGTTCATTGTACCTTATACTTGTCTCATCATAGCTTCTGTTACATTTCACTGAAATTACCTGTTTACTCATCTGTATTTCCCTCTAGACCTGGGCTGCCCCATACAGTAACTACTGGTCACGTGTGGCTTTGAGTAGCTGAAACATGGTGAGCGCAACGTGAGATGTGCTGAAAGTGTAAAATACCAAATTAGAAAAGCTGGATTCCAAAGAATGTAAACTATTTTATTAATAATTTCTAAATAGGTCACGGGGCGTGAGTTCTACACGTTGGGTGTAGAGATTACTAAAAAAAAAAAACACTTTTTTTGGGGGTGGTTGGAGGGGTAGAGGGAGAGGGCAAGAGATAATCCCAAGCAGATTCCACGCCCAGCATGGGGCTCCATTTTATGACCCTAAGATAATGACCTGAGCCCAATCAAGAGTCAAGGCTTAACTGAGCCACCCAGATTCCCCCAAAATAATAAACTATTAAAAAATAATAATTTCTGGGGTGCCTGGATGGCTCAGTCGATTAAGCATCTGCCTTTGGCTCAGACCATGATCCCAGAGTCCTGGGATCCAGCCCCGCCTTGGGCTCCCTGCTCAGCAGGGTGTCTGCTTCTCCCTCTGCCTCTCCTCTTGGCTTGGGCTCTCTCACTCACTCTCTCTCTCTCAAATAAATAAAACCTTTTAAAAAATAAATAATAATAATAATTTCTATATAGGTCACATACCAAAATAATATTTTAGATATATTTGGTGAAATAAAATATAATATTAAAATTAATTTTAGGGCGCCTGGGTGGCTCAGTTGTTAAGTGTCTGCCTTCGGCTCATGTCATGATCCCAGGGTCCTGGGATCGAGCCCTGCATCGGGCTCCCTGCTCAAGCGGGAAGCCTGCTTCTCCCTCTCCCACTCCCCCTGTTATGTTCCCTCTCTCGCTGTCTCTATCAAATAAATAAAATCTTAAAAAAATAATAAAAATAAAAAAATAAAATTAATTTTATTGGTTTCTTTTAAATTTCTTAATGTGGCTACTGGAAAATTTTTAATTACATAGATAGTTCAAATTATATTCCTATTGAACAGCACTGTTAGAGTATAAGAACTGAGGCATCTCCAAGGTCTAGCACTTAATAAATATGTGTTGAATGAATATGTTATATTCAGCCATAGCATACTCAGTCTCTGACTACAGATATATACTAATGTTGATGGCTTGTAACTTGAATGTTGGTTGACGCTTTTGACAATGTTGACTTCACTGTTGCCTGAAAAAGAATGTACTTCTTATACCAGCTAGGCCCAAACATTGTTCAAAATTTTTAGAATACTTCTGCAATTCATCTACTTGTCTGGAACATTCCAGGGATATTTGTCTCCTTACAGACATAGTTCACTTCCAGTTCAGTCACTCTGGAAACTGAGTGGCACATCTGGCTTAATAACTGAGGGCCAGCATCAGGTGTGCATTCCAAAAGCAATGACTAAAACATGAACCATAATACCTACTCATCAAAATCTGTGAAGCTCCTCTGAAATTCTGACTTCATTTTCACCAAATAGTCTAGCACCTTGCCAAAGTCTGTGCTTCTATTGCGCTCAGGTGCTTGAGCAGAAGAAAATGAGCATGGGGCCCAGCTAACTCCACTGTCACAGCCAGATGGAGTTGAACACTTGCATGTCTTTGAACACATCAGCAGGGCCCTTATTTTATTTCCCTGCAGCTTTACGTGAACTGTGCTAGGCTGTCACGTCACATCAGTAGGAAAGAACAATTTTATGAGCCAGTAGGGGTCTGGCATGTTTTATCTCTCAGAACCTTTTTAATTAATTCACTAAAGTCTAATCTAAGGAAACAGCTCGGTAAATCTCTTCAACAGGTTTCCACCACTTAGCAGTCTGACAGCATTGAAGTAACTCGATCTCCATGTTCTGTTTTCACCTTTTCCAAATATACTAAAAACTGAATATGGCCAAGGGCAGAAACACAAAGAAAATTCAGTTAATTCCTTCACTGAATCATGTGACTTGCACAGCTCCCAGCTCTCACTCTCCTAATGAGTGATGTAATAATGGAAACCAGGGCCCACTAATCGCTTTTGACATGAATAACTTGAATAATGTGTAGAAACCTCCCCCCTCCAATCTGTGTCAAGTGAGCTTAGCTTTTCCATATTTAAACAAACTTCTTAAGTTCCATCCTGACAAGAGGTTAGGCCCTACTAGTTAATTAGGCACGCTTCTTTCCCCCTGAAAATTTGAAGTGGTCCACATTCCAGTCAAGAGAGCCTACATCTGGTAAAAAGGCTGCAGGATGGATACCTTCATACTAAGCTTCAGTGATGAAATGAAGTCATTGTGCTAGAGGGCTCCCATCCTAGTATTTCCCTGTGTATAGTACGGGACATGGCATGCTAATTAATTCAACCAATACTTACTGATTGCCGCGTGCAAAGCACTTTGGAGGATATCAAGATAAACAATACTAATAGCTGTCATTTAATGAGTCCCTATTATATCCTATACCTTTTAAAATGCACAATGCTACAAGGAGATTAACTCCATTGCACTGAAGAATAAAATAGGGCCCCTACACTTTGGGAGTTTATGTTTCACAAATATTTCTGATATATAACAAGATATAGACTATATGTAAATGAAATCCTAAATGCTGTATTTTTTTAATATTTATTTATTTATTTGAGAGAGAGAGAGGGCACGTATGTGAGGAGGGGCAGAGGGAAAGAGAGAGAATCTCCAGCAGACTCCCTGACCAGCATGGAGCCTTCATGGCGCTTGATCTCATGACCCTGAGAGATCATGACCTGAGCCCAAATTGGGAGTCGGATGCTTAATCGACTGAGCCACTAAGGCGACCCTAAATTCTACTTTTCTAGCTTTTTAAAAATTTTTTATTTATTTGCGAGAGACAGCGAGAGAGAATGAGAGCGAGCAAGCGAGCACAAGCAGGGGGAGGAGCAGAGGGAGAGGAAGAAACAGGCTTCCCGCTGAGCAGGGAGCCTGACGCAGGACTCAATCCCAGGACTCTGGGATCATGACCTGAGCCTAACACAGATGCTTAACCGACTGAGCCACCCAGGCAGGCATCCCCTACCATAGAAATTTTTTAAAAACAATCTGAATTAACCAGGGCTGACCTAGGTATAATCTTACCCACTCAAAGAAGAGACATGTATTAGAAGAAGTAAAACAAAAACTAAGTCTTCACCCATGGAAATGTTCATTACTTACCAGGGTGATGTTTGGGGGAGTCGACCTCCATTTGGCAAAATTACCATCACACCAAAATCTTTTTTTTTTTTTAAAGATTTTATTTATTTATTTGACAGAGAGAATGAGAGAGAGAGAGAGCACATGAGAGGGGGGAGGGTCAGAGGGAGAAGCAGGCTCCCTGCCGAGCAGGGAGCCCGATGCGGGACTCGATCCAGGGACTCCAGGATCATGACCTGAGCCGAAGGCAGTTGCTTAACCAACTGAGCCACCCAGGCGCCCCCATCACACCAAAATCTTATGTTAAGTGTCAGGTGAGGGCAGAAGACAGAGCCTTGGAAAGCCTGACCTTGGGTCCTTTCCAAATGTAACTTACATGTAAAGTAATTTGAGAGAGAAAAAGAAAGTAGGGAAAACTCTGTTTTTTAAATCACATTTTAATTTTTCTCCAGGTCACCTCATTTTCTGCACTCTCAATATGGCTCCCTTAACGCAGTCTGAGGCCAAGAGATGACGACGACAAAAAGAAATTATCAATAAAAGGCGGCTCTAGGCGACCGGAGACTAAACCTCCCCCGGGGGTGGGGGTGGGGGTGGGGTGGGGCAGGGAGACGTCGGCCCCATCCTCAGCTCCCCGACCGCCAGCGCCCCCTCCCGGGCGGCGGGCGCTCACCAGAGGCGCGCAGGCCGACGCTGCCCCTCCCGGGACTTCAGGTTTTCTTTTCCCCTCCCCGCCGGCCCGCCCCCCCGCCCGCCGCCTGGCGCCGCCGCCCCGCCCCGCCCCGCCCCGCCCCGCCCCGCCGGCCGGTCCCGGCTCCCCGGCCCCTGCGCGCGGCGCCCAGCCACTCGCACGTCCAACGCCCTCTTTCCCCCTGAAAAGTTTTTAGACGGTGGGGACTATTTTCTTCTAAGGTAACCTTCCACCAAACTGGAGGGAAAAGTTAACCCGAGGCCGGAGAAGGGCTGGGGCGCCAGCGGGACCCGCGGGAGCCTGGCTTTGGGAGAGAGGCTTCTCTTGCATGGAAATGAATAGCTGGGCTCCCAAACCAGAGTTGTGTGTTGGGTTAGTTGTAAAAGGTGCACTGTGGTGCTAAATATTTAAGATGGAGATTTTTTAAAAATTAATAATAAATAACATAAAATAGATTCCACTAGACAAATGGTTCTTGTCTTTAGACCTTGCAATTCGTTCGTTCTATTGATTCTTATGTTTGTCTGTCCTATAGGGGAACCAAGGTCCCCTGGGAATGACTTCTTAAATCCTAGAGACAAAAGTCAAACCTTGAAACTGCCCTTTGGGGCAGTTCGCTGAATTCGGGTGAGTAAACAACCTACAGAAATATTTAGGAAAACCCACTAGACCTGTATTTTTCAAACTGTGAGTGGCAAATCGGTTTGAGAAGAATATTAGGGAGGGAGGAAAGAAGGAAGGAAAGAAAGTACTACATAGTAAGGATCAGTATTCTTTTATGAAACCTGTATCGGGGTACTTGGGTGGCTCAGTCATTAAGCGTCTGCCTTTGGCTCAGGTCATGATCCCAGTGTCCTGGGATCGAGCCCCACATCGGGCTCTCTGCTCATTGGGAAGCCTGCTTCTCCCTCTCCCACTCCCCCTGCTCGTGTTCTCTCTCTCGCTGTGTCTCTCTCTGTCAAATAAATAAATAAAATCTTAAAAAAAAAAAAATGAAACCTGTATGGTGAGAGAATATTGTATATGTTAGCATGTACCAGGTGGAAATTGTGTGCGTTTGCATGTATGAGGTCGAAATGTTGAAAAATGTTTGAAAACCTCAGCACTAGACAGAATTATTTTAGGATGATTAGATTGGAAAGCTTTGAAAAGTCATCCAATTTATGCCTCTATACTTCATTTTAAAGACTACAGGCTTTAATTATCTTTCTTGCTTATTATCTTCCCATCTCAGCATCTGTTATTAATGATTTGTGAGTAATTTATCTCCTTAAAGCTATTATTTCAGTAAAGAAAGCTATAACTTAAAATATGAAGGCAGTTCTGCCAAGCTCCCCTTTTTCCCCTCTTCTATCCTGTGACTCAGACTTATGGCCACATTCCAAATGTGTCTGAAGACCCTCCAGAAAGCCTGGGTTGCTGTGATATTATGTAATCAAATATTCCCCTTATCTAGTTTATTTTAATTTATATTAATTTAAAATATGTATTTTTTTCCTTTATTGCTTATTTTAAAAGTTTTATACCTGTATAGATAATATGAAAGGCAGTAGTGCTTGAATTTGACTTTGTTCCTTCTCACTATAGGGGAAGCTCTCTTTTATGCCAAACAGGGGCGTGGTCTGTGACTGAGTTTTCTATCTTTACTACCCTGTTGCTGGAGATACACAGGCTCCATTCATTCACTCATTCATTCCTGCCATTTTCTTTAATTTGATATTTGTATCAGAAGTCCCACAGGTATGTGTGGCTAAGGGTGCTGATGGCGAGGAAATACTCTTCATAGTCATTAGTGAGACGCTGGCCCAGTAACAACAACAATAATAAAATACTTGTAATAATAAACATTACTCAGGTTTACATTAATAGCTGACATTGACTCAACACTTTTCTGTACCAAGCATCTTACATGCATTAGGTCAGTAAATTCTCTTTAACCTTGTTTCACAGTTGAAGACATTAAGCTTAGATGGGGTTAAGTGAGGTGCTAGCTAGTGCTTGGCATGGTTCTTCAACTACCACCAGGCTCTCCTTTCACTTTTCTTCGCTGACTTCCTGAATATTGAACCTGAACATTTTCCCCCAGAGACCTCTGCCTAAAAGGCAGTTGTGACATCAATGAGATATTTATGTTCCTTGAAGTCACGCCTTGTTAACTGGCACCAGGCACACTCCACAGATCTTGCCTACCAGGCAGGAGGGGGTCATTCCAAACACCAGCTGAAGAAGAAGAGCCCCTGGGTAAAACATTCTCCAAGCTATACACAGATGTGCCTTGGGAGAGAGGAAGAGCAAACACTGGGAACTGACTTAACTGGTTCTCTTTCCTCTATGTGTTCATCATGGGTCAGCGATGCTATTCAGCTGGTTGTTCAACATTTTGAGCATCACCCTGGCAATAAATCTTGGAATTTGATCTGTCATGGGGCAATCGTAGGAGATCTATGAAGGAGAGGAACGGGATGGAGAGAATTTTAGTGCAATTAGAAAAGTATTATTTTGAAAAACAGTGTACTTTCCTTGTTCCTTTATGAATAAACGACTTTATCCTTAATTGGTCCTTGGCATCCATCTGCTTGAGGAAGATAAGGATTTGTTAGAGAAGGAAGGGGGGAAAATACTGAGATATTCAGCTTCTGACATTCAAAATAGAACTTTATAGCAAAACAAGAAGTTTCTAAGCCAGGTTAGTGGCTTGAAAGAAGATTTCCTAAATTCCTTTCAAGATTAAAAAAAAAAAAAGTCTGTTTGACTCCCTGAAGATACCAGCTTGGAGGACTTAACTCAGGAAGTTCTCCCAAAGGGTATGACTGCCAGGCCATGATGTCTGCTGCTCAGAGGTAGAAGGACACAGAGTGGGGGAAGGCAGGGAAGCCTATGTTTGTTGGTCCTGGGGGATAATTGGAAGAAAGAGTGGGAGAGAGAATAAGGGGGGAAGGGAAAACTGTCAAATGTCCCGATTTCTCCTTTCCAGACTTCTGTCTAGAGATGACGAGATGGGTGCCTGGGTGGCTCAGTCAGTTAAGTGTCTGCCTTCAGCTCAGGTTGTGATCCCAGGGTCCTGGGATGGAGCCCCACATAGGGCTCCCTGCTCAGCAAGGGAGTCTGTTTCTCTCCCCCCTCCCACCCCTGCTCATGCTCTCTCTCTCAAATAGAAATGACAGGGTACATCATGTGATTGGAGGGAATAGCAGGGACTTGCTCCCTTTTGCTATGCTCTGTATCTTCCTCTGGCATAACACATCAGGTAAAAGTGTACTCAGACCAAAAGCCCTGGGGTCTGGCTTTCCTGGGAAGCTGTCAATGAGAGCCACAGTATCTGACTGAGGAACTTGTTGGAGGTGACCTTAGCAAGCTAGAGCAAGGTGACACAGTAGTGAAGCCTGCAGAGTGGATTACCTGCCTCCACCAACCAGGGCCAAGCCTAATGGACCTCAGAGACAGACTGTTATTTGTAGGATCTGCAGAGCCAGAGAGCTGAGGGGAGGCTGTCAGTCATGAGGCCTGAGCAACCAAAGGCCAGCTCACAAGTTATATCCACATGGTCTGGAACTATATCTTTCAGCTGTCAATACCAGCAGGACAAGCAGTGGCCTGGTGGGAAAGGGACAATGTCCCAAAGGCCAGAACAGTCCACATTGCACTTAGGGGTCTCTTGGATTGTCTCCTTTGTCATACAATTGCATAAGCTGTGCTTGCCCCCTAAACCATTTGGGGGAAAACTGGAGAAAAAAGTGAAGGTCTGGGAATACTGAGAAAACCAAGTGTTATTTCCTTTCTATCTTTCTTTCTTTCTTTCTCTTTTTCTTTCTTTCTTTTTTTAAGATCTTATTTATTTATTTGCCAGAGAGAGAGAGAGGGAGTACAAGTAGGGGGACGGGCAGGCAGACCTTGAAGCAGGCTCCCACTGAGCAAGAAGCCAAACGCGGGACTCGATCCCAGGACCCTGGGATCATGACCTGAGACAAGGCAGATGCTTAACCGACTGAGCCACCCAGGCGTCTCCAAGGGTATTTTCCTAAAGAGAATGAGTGTTACCTAAAAGTAACCTAAAGGGATTGCTTAAATTTGATAAGATTGGGGCGCCTGGGTGGCTCAGTCGTTAAGGGTCTGCCTTCAGCTCAGGTCGTGATCCCAGGGTCCTAGGATCGAGCCCCGCATCGGGCTCCTTGCTCCGCGGGAAGCCTGCTTCTCCCTCTCGCGCTCCCCCTACTTGTGTTCCCTCTCTCGCTGTGTCTCTCTCTGTCAAATAAATAAAATCTTTAAAAAAATAATAATAATAATAAAATAAATTATTTGATAAGATTTAACTTCCTTTTTTGCTCTTCTTTAAATTATTTTATTTTATTTTTCTTTAAATTATTTTAATGAGATAATTGTAAAATATTTAAGAACCACAAGAAATAAGAAGTAATATAAGGAACTTACGTACCTACCACTCAGTGTAAAAAAGAAAACATTACTGGCGCCCGCGTGGCTCAGTCAGTTAAGCGTCTGACTCTTGGTTTTGGCTCAGGTCATGATCTTGGGGTTGGGAGAGGGAGCCCTGATTTGGCTGCACGCTCAAAGTGGAGTGGGCTTGAGAGATTCTCTCTCCCTTCAACTCCCATACAGTTGAAACTTCCAGTGTACCACTCCATAAATGCCACTTGTATTAATTCGAAAACAGAAAATTGCTGATATTAGATTGCTTTTTTTGCCTACAAAAAAACGTTCAGAGATTTTATATTATTAATCAACCTAATATTTTATTTACCTTTATAGGTTTGATCGGTACCTTGCTCATTCTGTTGTCCACTTGAAATGCCTTCTTCCCTTCCCTCATTTATCCATATTCTAACCATGCTTCAAGACGAGATCTGAGCCCCACTCCTTTCAAGAAGCTTTCTCTGAAGACTTGAACCTGCACAGAGCTTTCCTTTCTCTTTCCAGAACATACAGTCTGTCTCACACAGCATTGTTTTATGTGTTCTATTCTGTAATTATCTGGACCACACACATTTGCACTTGGTAATATTGTTACCTTCTTTGCTGTTTTGTTCATTAATATATGGAAGAAATAATAGGCTTTTACTGAACATTTGGCTGATTAAAGATAATAAACTACTTATTTCTTGGAAGTTATTACTTCTAGCAATTTTTGTAAAAGATACTTTTGCTCAAGATCCAAACTATTTCCAGGAGATACTTTAAGGTGGGAAATCTGGGAAAGAATCAGAATAGGAGCCTGTTATCCATGAATGTAGTCAAATTTTATCATGTTCCATAAAATACTTGCATTATGGTATAGAATATCTTAAGAACTAATAATAAGGGACACCTCGGTGGCTCAGTCGGTTAAGTGTCTGCCTTTAGCTCAGGTCATGATCCCAGAGTCCTGGGATCAAGCCCCACATTGCCTAATATACCCTGGATTTCACCAGGACAATGACAACACACCTTTATTGCTGAGAAATATATCACTTCTCTGTGAAGACAGGGAGTGAAGGATCTTGTCCAATGAACCCAGGGCCTGAGATTCTTTCCCTGGGGTTCATACAGAAGCACACAAATGGGCTTCAAGCCTGAAAGTATTTGCAAAATTTTACATCCATGTACCAATGTGCATTTTTCATAGGGAGATAATCCATAGCTTTCATAGAGATTTTCAAGAGGTTCATAATGTAGAAAAGGTTAAGATCCACTTTTCTAGATTAGGAATAAGATCTCTGAATTGGAGAAGCAGAGACCAGAGGCTCCCAGGAAGCGGGGTGCATAGGAAAGAAGAAACTCATATTACACCTGACTCATAAGGACTTACACACCAATGCGTTTATTATTTTTTTTTTAAGATTTTATTTATTTGACAGAGAGAGACACAGCGAGAGAGGGAACACAAGCAGGGGGAGTGGGAGAGGGAGAAGCAGGCTTCCTGCCGAGCAGGGAGCCCGATGTGGGACTCGATCCCAGGACCCTGGGATCATGACCTGAGCCGAACGCAGACACTTAACGACTGAGCCACCCAGGCGCCCCCACACCAATGCATTTACACCCAAGAGTAGAAATGAGAACAATTTTCTGGATGAATGAAGGCTTAATCATTTTGCTCCTATAAAATTATTTTAAATTGGTGAATCTTGGCACTTTCACATTTTCAGGTCTTACTAACTTTATGTCTCAGGCAATACAAAAGACATTAAAAATGAATCTCTGGGGGCACCTGGGTGGCTAAATCGTTAAGCGTCTGCCTTGGGCTCAGGTCATGGCCCCAGGGTCCTGGGACTGAGCCCCACATGGGCTCTCTGCTCAGCGGGAAGCCTGCTTCTCCCTCTCCCGCTCCCCCTGCTTGTGTTCCCTCTCTCGCTGTCTTTCTTTGTCAAATAAGTAAAATCTTAAAAAAAAAAAAAAATCTCTGGCTGTCTTAGGAGATGGCCCTCTTGCTACCTCTTACTCCTACTGTACATACTCAACAATAAGAAGACACCCCAAAGGATGTGATCACCTATCTACACCAGAAACCTTTAAAACTAAATTCTGGGGGCGCCTGGGTGGCTCAGTTGGTTAAGCGACTGCCTTCGGCTCAGGTCATGATCCTGGAGTCCCGGGATCGAGTCCCGCATCGGGCTCCCTGCTCGGCGGGGAGCCTGCTTCTCCCTCTGACCCTCCCCCCTCTCGTGTGCTCTCTGTCTCGCTCATTCTCTCTGTCTCAAATAAATAAATAAATAAAAATCTTAAAAAAAACTAAAACAAAAAACAACTAAATTCTGGAGCCTGAGTCTCCTCTCTGTAAAACAATGATGTTAATCCTCTTGTCCTTCAGAAGAATGAATCAAGTTGCTTAATGTCTGCAATTGTGTTCTGGAAATTATTCATGACTATAATAAAATACAAACACTGCTAAATTAGAAAAGAATGTATCCTAGAGAAAAAAAGGAAATTTTAATTAAATTGTACTTTGAAATCTATTATAGTGAACAAACCACATAACAAATGTATCTATAAAGTAATCCAATTAATTTTTCCACGAAGCTTTATGGAATCAGTTTAATTACTTGATAATCATACCTGCTCAACTCCGTAGCAACAACCTAGATGAAACAAATGTAGCTTTGCTTCTGGGTGTCTCTTAAATAATATTAATTTAATTCAAAGTTTAACTAAATTATTACCTTCCATGAAATCATACAGCAACTCACAGAAAAGTCTTGATGACTGATGAAATTGCTGCTCATCCATTTCTCGCAAAATATATTTGGAAGGCAGAGACCTTCAGTTGCTTTTTACTGAAAGCTAACGAGTAACGTTTATTTTATTTTACTTTATTATTTTTTTTAAAGATGAGACCTGTGTTTTTTTTTTAAAGATTTTATTTCTTTATTTGGCAGAGAGAGAGACAGTGAGAGAGGGAACACAAACAGGGGGAGTGGGAGAGGGAGAAGCAGGCTCCCCGCAGAGCAGGGAGCTCGATGTGGGGCTCGATCCCAGGACCCTTGGATCATGACCTGAGCCGAAGGCAGTCACATACCAACTGAGCCACCCAGGCACCCCAGCAACGTTTATTTTAGAAATCCAGTCTAAAAACTTCCTCCAGTTATTTCTCACCTCTTGAGAATATTCTGAGCCCCTAGGAAAGTCCTCAGCTCTTCTAAGCATAAAGAGGTAGCACATAATATTTTTATTTTTTATTTTTTTAAGATTTTATTTATTTATTTGACAGAGAGATAGAGAGCACAAGTAGGCATAGAGGCAGGCAGAGGGAGAGGAAGAAGCAGACTCTCCACTGAGCAGGGAGCCCGACATGGGGCTTGATCCCAGGACCCTGATCATGACCTGAGCTGCAGGCAGCCGCTTAACCAACTGAGCCACCCAGGCGCCCCGCACATAATATTTTTAAATACAACCTAGCAGCAGCCTCTGGGTTCCCCATTTTTTATTGGTCCCTGGTCAAACATAGATCACTTGCCCTTTATGTCACAATGATTTCCCCATGAAGTTAGGCATATCCCATCACGTTATGCATATATTCCCACTCGTATGTGTGGACTTCTCTTGACTCCCAGGTTCAGTGCAATCAGCTGTTGATCTTTTGGGGCTGGGAGATGTTCTGATGGTGAAAATTTCTGCACTGTTTTTCTAGCTCTCACATCTTGCAGAATGAGTAGCTTCCTTTGAGTTCCTAGGTTTGACCACCCTGAGTGTATATTGCAGAGAGCAAGATGTTCATTTTAAAGAAACCTGGCATTGTCCCCCACTGAAGCTGCTTTCTGCCTGGACTGACCTCACAATCCTCTCCACTCCCCACGCTGACAACTATGGGTCAGCTTCACACTGAACCTGAGCAGTGGGTGTTGGGTCTGGATATTAGCAAAACAAGGGCAGAGGGGCACCCATGGATCACTGCTTTTGAAAACATGTTGAAATCATTTGTCTCTCTGCCTTGACACTCTCCAAGCTACAGGTGGTTCTAATTTTCAACTCGTGGCAGAAACCATAAGCCAAGGAAGCAAATAAGTGTTTCCATAAACTGTAGAAAAGAAACAGTCTCCGGCTACCTAACTGTGAAATGCCCAACTTGGGACTTCCATTAACTTTTGACCTTTCTTAGAAACCCATATGGAGAGGATTCAATTTTTCTAAGTTAGCTACTGAAGACAGGGAGGGGTAGCTTTTTAGCAGCAGTATTAGGGTACAATTTCCAATATACCAAACTGGATTGGCTTTCAGACCCCTCCCTAATATGTTGTAGAGGCACATGTGAATGGAATTCTAAGGTTTCAATCCAGGTTATCTGCTCTGCTACTTTGGTTTCCCATCAGTATCAAGATGGGTCAAGTATAAGAAACCACAGCTATCAGTTCTATTCACTCTAGGAGAAACTTTTGTGTCAGCTAAGGACAGCAAAATGTTCCAACACTGTCCAAATTAATATGGGCATTCCATCTTTAGCACAGGGAATACATTTCTGGAAATGGGAGAGCACTAACTGTAGAGTCTTTTTGCAGATGTTGCTTTAGTGTTGCAGGGTGGTGGAGTTCTTTTCACATCCCCCGAAGTTATAAAATGTCTCTACTACTGCTTTCTTCCAACAATTAGTCATTCAACAGTTGATCAGTCCTGGCTGTGGCATAGTTAGGACATCTCTTATAATGCAAAGAGCTTGCTCCATTCCCTGATTGTTGATCCTTAACCTTGTTTCCTGAACTCTTTCCTCAAAGGTGCCTCCCGTACCCAAAAAAACTCCCATTTCAACATTCAGCATGATGTTCTTCTTTTATTTCTTTATGGCAGGCAGGACACCATCACTCACACATTTTGTTAGCCATTATCGGTCAAAACTCTCTCCCAGCACGACGCCTTGTTGGCTCAGTCCATTGTGCAGCCGACTCTTGATTTCAGCTCTGGTCATGATCTCAGGGTCCTAGGATGGAGCCTGAGTAGAGTCGAGTGGGGCTCCGTGCTCAGCGGGGAGTCCCTGCTGCAGGATTCTCTCCCTCCGCCCCTTCCCCCCCCCTAAGAAATAAATAAATCTTAAAAACAAACAAACAAAACTTGTCTTCCAGGACACAAATGAAATTACAGAAAAATAGGTCACAGAGAACTAAACAACACACTGCAGAACTCACTCAGTTGAAGGAAGCAGCAGCTCCACGGTTCCCACCCGGTCCAGGCCACCATCACCTCACCTGGATTATTGCAAAAGGCTCCTAAGTCATCTTCCTGCATATACTCCTTGCCCCTTCCAGTTATTCTCTAAAAGCAGCCAGGGTGTTCCTTTAAAAATGTTAGTCAGGTCATGTCACTCCTGGGCTCAAAATCCTCCAATGACTTCACTTTCTGAAGTTGCCTTCACTTTCTTCAGGTCTGCGCTCAAATGTCGCCTTAATAATGAAGCCTTTTCCAACCACCCCACATAAAATAAGGACTTTCCCATCCCCACCTCTGTACCACACTCCCAATTTGCCCTATCCTGTCCTTTTCCCCATCCATAGCACCTATCATGTTATCACCTACTATATATCTACTGATATGATGTGTGGTAGATTATAGTTTCCAAGATGGCCACAACAAGATTTCCCATGCCACAGATTCTTCTTACAATGTGATATTTCTACTACTTCCTCTGAGAAACGTTTC